GCTATAATTCCACTAAATACTAGTATATACCTTGAAAGAACAATGTGGTCTTGTCCTAATGATATGAGACAAAATAATTTAACTACATTTAGAAGTGTTTAAATGTTTTTTATTTTATTAATGAGAATTTTAATCAAATAATTAATATCTTAATGATTATTATTGACTTTATCAGTAACTAATAGACTTAATAAATATAACTCATTATTACGTGTTTTTTAAGTACCTAAGTGTTAATTTGATAAAGAAATTAATTATTTTTGGAGATTTTGACCTGAACAGAAGTTTTTTGTTTAATTATCGATTAAAAAGGGACTTTTTTAAATCACCGTCAGTAAAATAACCAAGATTATTTATTGGTAATAAAATATATATATGAACAATTATGGAAAAGCCTCCAGTGCTTTTCCAAGACTACTATTAAAAACAATTAACAAAAATATAATATCGATAAAAGATAGTTTGAGAAATATTTATTGAAATAAATATATAAATTAGAACAGTTAGCAACAGAAGATTTTGATATTCGACATTTGACAGTTGATATTTAAAATTTGGTATTTGACATTTGACATTTTCTATAATGAAACAGTGCAAATATAGAATTAAATCTTACTGAAACCCAATTAGCTTTATATGACGTAATATTTCAGTAAAAATTATGTTTCCAAAAATATTTCCACTGCCGCGCTCTAAATATACAGTGTGTCCATGAATGGAGTTTACAAGAGGAATTTGGTTCAAAGATTTATATCCTTATTTTAAAAAATATAGATAAAGGCTGTTTGAGAAACAATATTTACGCCCAAATAGGATTAGAATAATCTACGGAAACTAATTTCATATCAGTTCAGTTTGTTACAAGAAAAAAATAATAATATGAGTCAGTGACGTAACTACAAATTTTGCACTCTAAACTTATTGCATCTGTTGTGCTAGATTTCTTACGAAATCCAAACTGATTCAGTGCTAGAGTATTGAATTCAATTAAAAACTTACATAATCGGTATTTAACAAGTTTTTAAATTAATTTACCTAGAGTCGGTGTGAAAGAAACAGTGGTGTAGCGTATAGTATGCCAGGGGCGTTTAGAGCACCTTTGGCGCTCCTCATAGAGGTTTTGGGTGCCCTCTCCGCCCTTTGGATCACGCTACTACACTGTAGAGAAATTACCCTGTAATTGGCAAAAGTTTCTTTGTCACCGCTTTTATGCAGTTGTGTCACCAAACTAGTTTTAAGAAAAGATTGATATATGACCAATCTGAAACTTACATTAATAAGAATTGTTGTCTGAATAAAAGAGGAGTGCAGTAAAAGTGGGGATATAACGTCACATTCTATAAGTGTACTTTGCAAAATAAGTTTCTATAATATTAATAAGGTCACGACATATAAAGTGGTATATACACACTTCGTAGATTAAATTTTGAATGAAAAAATAAACCTTATGCTACTGCCCAATTCTTTTTTAATCTCTCCTAATATTATATTACTGCTGATACCGCAGAACGGCTCAGGTCCTACAAAGGGTGTTTGCGCCCCTTTCCATGCAAGACTATCTGCAATCTCGTTACTCTGTATTATGTCCCGGGACCCAAGTGAGAGTAACTCTATTTTTCTCGCCTATCTCATTCAATTGTTCTAGGCATCTTCAGACCATTTTTGAGCTGATTACGTAAGACCTCAGCGCTTTGATGGCTGCTTGACTATCGGACATGATGATAATCTCTTGTCTATGATAGTTTCTCTCGATGTTGAACTGGATACACTTCTCGATGGCGTGAATTTTTCCGCTTGGAAGATGCATGGGTATTTTCTAAAGCTTTCGGAGTGCTTGGTTCTCGGCCCATACACTCCTATTCCAGTTCCTTCTATGGTTTTGGAACCGTCCGTATACCACTGAATAGCACGTCTTTCGGTTGCAAGCGCGATGGATTCTTGGCTCCATTCTTTCGTGCATCCCAGCTCTGTGGTTTTGAAGTTTTTCACAAAACTGTACTTCTTTAGCATTTTATCCTGGGGCATGTCTCAGGTATCTTTTTTTTTCTCTCCTGGGCTCGTCTGACTATGTGTCTCCGAATAACACTGAAGCCTATTGGCTTATTGTGTTTTACCCCATGTTAGTTCATAGCACCCACTCTATCACCTTTGTACCGTGTACAAGTTTGTACAGATCCTTGGGTGAGTGGGTTCTATACGTTGTTGGATCAACCTGGGGTTGTCCAAAAAGAGCCTGTCTTTTGCGATCTAGAGCTTCGCATTCGCACAGTATGTGTTTGGCCGTTTCTGGTTTCTTGTGACATAGTCGGCACATGAGTTCCCCATTGTACATGCCAGTTTTGTTCAAGTGTCTCTTTACTGGGGCGTGCCCAGTCATGAACCCTGTTATCACTTTCAACTGGTTCCTATTCATTAAGAGTAGTTCTCCAGTTCTTTTGGGACATGGTCTGCCTATGAAGGCTTTTCCATGTGCCTGTTTTGGGGTGCTTCCCCAATAGTTGATATGTTGTTCCCGAATCCAGTCATTTATAAAACCCCGGACTCTTAATCACAAAAATCATCTTCTATGTGATACAAAAACAACTATAAAAATTGTTATGTATACCTACATTATTGAAAAAAATGCTTGAACTTCGAAAAGTACATGTACACATAAATTTCCATAGACTTATGGCGGATATTAAACCCCTAGCTACGCCACTGGTTCAAATGTATGCTTTAGTTCCTCCAAGTTATAATCTATTTTTATGTATGAGAGAGTAATAAAACAGCATTTCTAATGCAAAACTACGGTCATTTTAAATATTTTTACAGAATAATCTAAATATTTCCTAAAATTGTAATAAATGTACCTGAGCTATTACAAGTTTTGGGTCTTTTTTTGGTCCTTTATAAACATAAGCTGTACAGAACAATAGAAAAAGGTTTGGACAGGCCAAAAGCCCTGTGTAATAAAGATTACATAGCCGTATCTTAAGATTATTTTCAATAAGTACCTATTTGCCAATTTTGTTTTATTTTAATTCCAAGAATTTCTTACAGTAATCGAATTATAAGTAGATAAATACCTTCCCAAATTTCACCGAAAATACGATTATAGGTTTTCATTTAGTAAGGAGGTCCAAGTTGTGTATTCTTGACAGTTTACTAAATGTCGTTTAGTTGCAACTTGCAAGGTGCAGTGTGAATTCTAGTGTGATCATGAAAAATTTGGAAGGGCCGCGTAAACGACAAAAAATCGGTCCTTTAACAGTTAATGAAAAAACATTAATATTTAATTGTTTTAAATCATTTACAGACAAACATTTATGTAAAATTGTTGATGACACAGTGGAATTAGTTAGTAGTACGCTTGGTGTTGGGAAATCTACGATTTACAAAGTTATTAAAGAAGAGAAATGTGGCGAGTTTCAAACAGCACGTAAAGCTCCAGGAAAACCAAAATTTCAATTAGAAAATCTTTTGAAACAAAGACTTCGAAGGAAATTGCATGTGTTCTTCTTTAGAAAAGAATTTCCGACAGTAGACAAAGTTCTTGCCACTGTTCGAGATGATAAGGATTACCCTGAAATGAGTCGAAGCACACTATGGAAACTTTTAAAAGGAATAGGTTTTCTATGGAAAAAGCATTCCAGAAAGTCTATTTTAATAGAAAGAAGCGATATTGTAGTATGGAGAAGAAATTACTTAAGGACTATAAAAGAAATGAGAAACCAAAGAAAAAATATATTTTATTTAGATGAAACATGGATCAACGAGGGACATAAACTAAATAAATTTTGGCAAGATGAAACTGTTACAAGTCGAAGACAGACTTTTTTAAATAATTTATCTACTGGTTTAAATTCACCATCAGGAAAGGGGCGCAGACTAATAATAGTACACATCGGTAGTTCAAACGGTTTTGTTAAAGGACTTTTGAATCTACTCGTACCAGTGGGGACATGAATGCTGATGTCTTTAAAGATTGTATCGAACAAATTATAGATCTTCTACCTCAGAACTGTATAATAGTAATGGATAATGCAAGTTATCACTCGAGACTTATAGAAAAAATGCCCACAACCAAGTGGTTAAAAAAAGATTTACAGAATTGGCTAAATTCAAAGAATCGTGGGATGACGGTAGTTAGATAACCACCATATCATTGCGAAGTAAACCCGATTGAACTGATATGGGCACAGATAAAGGGAGAAGTTTCAAGAAAAAATAATTCTTTTAAAATGAGTGATGTTAAACAGTTGTTTTTGGAGGCTGTAAATAATGTGAAGCCTGAAAACTGGGAAAAGGCAGTAAATCATACGATTAAATTAGAAGGGAAAATGTGGAAGTTTTACAATATTACTGATGAAATGATCGAACCACTCATTGTAAATATTGGTTGCGACAGTTCTTCTTCTGATTTCGATTCTGATTTGGATTTGTAGGTAAGAAGTAGTTTTTATATTAAAATTATTATTTATGAATGTAACGTTGTTTAAAAGTCAAAGTTTAAACCCTTATACCTACATAACCCGTCTGACACAATGTTCTTAACATACCTTGTGGAAAAATAAAACATTTTAGAAAAAATTGCACTTTTTTACCTTCAGCTGTTTAGAAGTTATAAGCAGGTTAATTAGGTGAAAATATAAGTGTATACTCGAGGAATAACTTCAAAAAATATTTTAACTGTCTACTAAAAGAAGTGGTACGCCTATGGATTACGAACGCTTTATTATTTTAATACTCTCTCATACATAAAAATAGACCATATAGTATCAGATAGAAAAATGACACTTAGTCCTTTTAATTTATCTTATAATTTTAAATTTTTAATAGATTAGAAAAATTTTAAAACCTCTTATTTTTATTAAAAAAAAAACTAGATAGGAATTAATATTTTTTACGAAAAATACAGAATCACCATAACTTGAATCGAAATCTCTATCTGACGCATTATTTAATCAATCAGCATCATCTCTCAGAATGATTTCCGATTTCAATTGCTCCGACCAATCGCGTGAACGTCTGGAGAGATATATATAAATATATATGTAGAACTACATTCAGTCACAATATAGTCGCAATATATTCAAAAAACGCGTCGCCAAAGTCACACATCGTAACAGTAAATATTTACATCCCAAACGATTATAAATACAAAAAATATTTAAAAACGATCTCATTATTTCAAATTCAATATCGTTCGCAAATCAGTTAATTTGCGCCAAAAATCGCGAAAACCCAGAAGGCGCTTCGCATCCAGCCGGTCGTTTGTTTAGTATTTCCCCCACTATATCCCGTCGTTTCACGGCACACTAAATTCGAAGAGCCACCACTGTGTTAAAACGCCGCAACATTTTGAATCTAGCGTTCCGAGGTAGAAGACTGTGTTTGTCAGTGATTGTGATTTTTTTGCCAAAAAATAATTAGAAAATGTCAAAGAAAAACGGAAGTGCTGCGGCTAAAGTAGCCCTTCTTCAGGGGGCTGAAAAGGTAAAGATTTTTTTTTATATTAATTTTGTTAAAATTCGCAATACGGAGTTGTTTATTTTTCTATAGAACTTCATACTTCAAACTTCAATGGGAATCAAAATAATAATATTTACAACCGGACTTAATTTTTACTTTTTAAAATTTCAAAATCCAACCAACCATTCTGAAAATATTTCACTTTATAAAACCGTTCTGATCCGTGCAATTTATAATATCTTCAATAATTTAAACAAATTTTTCACCCAATCCATCAGTTATAGTGATACTTAATTAACATTATAAAAATACTTTCAGTAAAAAACGGATTTTTTACTTTCAAAACTGCCACGGAAGCAAAATGTCAAACTAATCAAATTCGATAGATTGTTTAGCGGCATTTCAAAATAATTATAATCAGTAATAATTCAATATCATATCTAAAACAACTTTGCTTTCGATTATTGTTAAAAAAATGTTAGAAAAAAATCTTGTAGGCGAAAAAACTGAATATCCTTCATATTTTACTAAAAAAGGATATTCAAAATTCCTTCCTGTTGCACTTTTACCCATAATCCTAACTAAATTAAATACTAATAGCTAATTAACTGTTTTTTTTTTCAATCCATTCTTTAATAATTAATACATGAGATTACGGTTCTCATGGTATGTCTGTGACGTAGTCAATGGAAAAGTACCAGCGACACTTACGAAGTATGGTACAGCGCGAACATGGGCGGAACTTTCAAGTGGGATTGCGTGAATAATACAAATTCGCTTGGGTGAATTTTAAATTGTATATTATTGCGAAAAATATTGGATTAGTCATTTCTTAAAAACCATTAGTTATATAGTTGATAATATCGAACATATTAAAGTTTTAATATATACCGACGATCTAAATTTGAAGATCATAACTTCAAGAGGATCTAAGTGCCAAAAGCATAGATAAAAGTTATGAGTAAAATAAAATTTGTATATATCATATACAGACATATACATTCGCCATGTTTATCCCACTACAATAAATAGATTTCTCTGAAAATACACTTAAAACCATTTGAATATCGTTAGTATACTGAACCTTTTTATGCCAAAATGAATATTTATAAAATATTGGCACTTAAGTCCTTTAGAAGTTACAGTATTCATGCTTCATATCAATTCTGTTAACCATTGCTTGCGACTTCAAAAGTGTTTGTCTGACATTGCAAATTGGTGTCTCAATAATTCACTCCCTCTAAATCCTATGAAATCTTCCATAATGTCTTTTTCTGAAAAAGTAACATCTATAATTTTTGATTATAAACTACAGAACGTTGTTCTAAATCGACCTAAATTTATAAGAGATCTCGTAGTTTATTTTGATCCTGAACTAACCTTCGTCAAACATATTGAAACAATGCTATCTGCTGCTAACAGGAGCTTAGGCTTTGTTATATGAAGGTGTGAAAAATTTAGAGAAAATGGGGTCTATTCTGTAACAATTCCTTTATATTTAACGGAGTTATGTACCAGAGTTTCTACATGCCAACTTATAGAATCAATGTTTTGAATTCATCTCCAATGTATCAATCTATTCAGAAATATGATGAAATTCAAGACATTTTGGATATTTTTGCATATAACAATTATATGATTAAAAATGTTTTTTCCTTAATGTAAAAAAGTTATGTAGACAACCATTTTTTTATCCTGTGTTCGGTTACTTTTTTTATTTTTCATGAATGTTTACATTGTATTTATTATATAGCTTCTTGTTTCACATTCTTAACAATTTTGTATTTATATTTTTATTCTAATGTTTTTTCTTCCGCTCCCATGGTGATTAGGTGATTACTTTTGGGTGGTGTAATAAATAAATTATTCTGAAATAGCTTCTTTATTATCGTAGTTGTAGAGGGGTTTTTTTTTGTTTTTGTGGGTTTTTTCGGGTTTTTTGGGGATTTTTAGTTTTTTCTTAAATTTGATATATAGTTTCTGTTCTATCAAAAGTTTTACAAAAATTATGACTTTTATTGCAAAAATAATAAAATAAAATATGCTTACAGTCATTTTTGGCAGTGATTTTATCATTCAAGATTAAGGATAGAGATATTATGTTCCCCGCAACACTTTTCAAAGAAGAACTTGTCATAAAATTCTCAACAAAGAAATGGTGGAAGCTTATATCAATAAAAAATAAAATACGAGATGAATTTTGTACCTATATGTTATCTTTGCTCTCATGTCCAGCTTCATCTGCATCTATTTTTTCTTCATATGGATGAAAATACAGTTTCTGATTTCTGATTTTTCTGATAACTAATATGCTTTGTTTAACAAAAAACTTGTTTATTTTCTTATTTCTCTATATACCATATTTAAAATAAACGTTTTGTTAGTTTAGTTTAGTTTCAGTTTCTCTCGTTATTTATGCTAGTTTTTGTTTTTATTCAGAAATAAATATATGTATATAACGTTCATTCAACTAAAAATCTGCTATTTTCAAAAAAAATCCAATAATAGTGGGTTTTATCAATTGAAAAACTCGAAAAACCCCACTGGGTTTTATAACATGGGGAAATTCTATGCCAACCCTGTAGAGGGTTGTCTACAGATCTTTCACACTTCTTTTTGATTTCCCAAGATACTATCCTTACTTTTTATCTTGCTGCTAAGTTTTTAACCGATTTATTTTCGTTTAGAGGCTTATATACAGATCTTTCACACTGTCTTTTCATTTTCGAAGAAATATATTTACTTTTTATAGCCTTAAATCTGGCTGTTCAATTTTTAAATCGCAATAGTTTCGTTTTCTTATTCATCATCTTATCAAATACTGATTGTTCTTTTTTAAATTCTTTTTAGTATCATCTCAAGCAGAAGGTGCAAACAAATTGGGAGTTAATTCTCATGTAGAAGCTTTTAAATTAACTCTAAAACATTACTACACTATTCTACTGATCTAATCATGCAATCACTCTTCTAAAGTCAATATTAACCACTTTAGTCTTATATTTCATTTATTTTTTATAAACTAATGTCCTATTTTTCATTTTTTTACTATTCCCTGAAATATCTGAAAGTTTAAAATATGTTATTTATCGTTAAATTTGCAATTTAATTGGGCAAATACAAAATTATTCATATAACTAACCTAAATCTTTTACTATCCAAAATTTATTGAAACCAAAAGTCCCAAATAGTCATACACCTTCGGGCATCCTTTTTAACACTGTATAGTGTTAGTAAGAGTCAATTTTACTTTATTTATTCTTAATACTATCATGCTTTTGCCAATATCTTTTATAATATTTTCTTCTTTTTCTCTGAATGCATCTTTCCAACTCGGAACTGTTGGAAATAGAAATAGCACTAACCCATTTAATCTTGTTAGGTTATAACGATCCTATCCACGTAATTAGTTGATTTTGTTTATCAATAAATCATTAATTTTACCATCAAAACAATCAGGGGATTGACTTGGTTGAAAAACATTTTTCGCACTCACGCAAAACAACAACTAATCATGATTACACCCGTTGATAAATACTTGCAGCGCCGTCAATGCATGATCCGCAAATTAACCGCCACATGGCAGTGTTTGATTATTGAAGGACTTTTTTTATTGGTAGTGCTTTATTATTAACGATTTTCATGTCTCCCACACGATTTTATTGTTGTTGCAATTTTTAGAACAATTCAGTTGTATTTTATCAAAAAAAGAAAACTTGTTGCTCAAAATAAACAATGTTTACCATAAAAAGTTATTTTTGTTTATTTACATTTTACCTAGTATTTTTTCCTGGTTTTCCACTATTTGTATCTGAAAATGTAGGGCGTTTAGGCCTCGTTTGGCCATTTGTGTTTGTATGAAGTTTCAATGCATTGTCCAGATGAAACAATGGCATTATTTTGTAATATGGTTATTTGGCCAAATGTAAAAATATGAACCTCTAACCATTATTATCTCTTATCATTATCAGATTTGGCTTTTCATTTACCACCAATTTTTACTTCTAACACTTTCTTTGCAACATCATTATTACCATCATACCATTTTAATTTATTTGTTTTTTTTTTTGTAATTTTATTGTCCAAAGCCTTTCTAATTTCTTAAATTCTTTCTTTATCTAATATCGTTTTACCTGTTTTATGTTTGCATTGCATTTTCTTGCTTCATATTCGTCATTAGTCTACTTAAAAATAGAAATTGCTGGAGCTCGTTTAACTTTAATGAATTTCTTACAATACGTATTATGCATCGTCCTAGATTCAAGAACTACATTTTAGAAACAAAAGCTAGTTCAACTAATGGTCTGAGCATCCGATTTTAAATGAGAAGACGCACCCAAATTGCAACAAATAAAAAATTTCGGAAGTCACGCGTAACATTTAGTGATTGTCTGCAAGCATTGTTTAAAAAAAGAACTAATATGTACGCGACTTTTCAAATTTAGAGCAAATTATATTTGGAGTACTCCAAGGTTACGTTCCAGACCCGCTCTGTTTTCGATTTATGAATCATAAAATAGTAAATCATGAAATCGTTCCTATTGTTAATCAGTTGAAACATTGTTCATCGAAGTTCATTATCAAGGCTTAAAAAGATACCTGAAAAAATGAATTGCCTGTTTCTGAAATTAATTTACTCCAAACTTTGCCCCTGTTCATCAATTTTCTTGGCTCTGATGACTGATATAGAGATTAAAAACATTTTACATTAGTAACTTATAATTATTGATCGATTTTTTGTGAATAAACAGTACTGTTGTTTTCTTATTTTAATTTTAATCCAATTTTGGTGTTCTAATTATATAATTTACTTGTCAAATTTTTATTTAAATTGTACCTATTTCTATTTATATGAATGTTGTTTGTATTAAAATTAAAAATAAAATTGCCAGCAATTTTGAATAGAATAGAAGACGACCTTGTCACTGAATTACATTAAACTGGTGTTTGGCAATTTAAAATATGTTTGGTTGAAAGACCTACCTACAAAATTTGGGTGTACCTACACTGTTAAATAAAAAAAAACT